AAATATAATAATGTGACTATCAAATGTTGGAGGAAGTGGAGTAGAAGAAATTAATATTGCAAATTAGGTATTATCGATAGTTGATAAATCAAGAAGTAGAGATGTTATCTAGAGTTACGAAAATAACGACTAGAAGAGTGAAAAATTGAAATAATTAAATGACGCTTCCTCTCATGAGCAGGCCTGGGGATGTGACGTGATGGAGACCAATCTATCACTTTCCATCATAAACTCTTCCATAAAATTTGGTTTGTTGAACGCTGTAATTTGATACAAGTGAAAAACTATAGAAAAGAATACTAATAACACTTAAGCTTGAACTAGTTACTTATATGAAATAGGAAAATAATGTTATGTATATCTAAATGAATTTCAAAAGGGGATGGGTAAGCAATTGGTTATAAAAATAGTACAGTGGAGGGTGAAAATATTCTCAGAGAGGACGACATTTAAAGCAGCAATACTTTTAATATCTAGTAGTAAATATTGAAACATGGTTCACTCTTGGAAAGTTCTACCTTATTTCTAACCTAAAATTCTAATACTAAATTTCTGATCATTTAATTTAATTCTAACCTTAGTTAAAAAAGAAAGATAGAAATGGTTGTGGTCTTAATACAGAATAACATAGGATATATAGGTTGATGTTAACAGACAGATATTTGGCAACAGCTAGTTAGTTATTCTTCAAGCAAGATTTCTTTTAGATAAACAGTCCCAGAAAGGCAATGTAGGATGATGGAAAGTATTTATGTTTTAGAGTCTGGAGTTGAATTCTAAGTCTAATCTTTTGAGCCATGTGAACTTGGGAAATATTTTGTGACTTGCTTTACTCCTCTGAAAAATCAATTTCTTTCAAATCATTTATTGAACACCTAGTATGAAGAAAATGTTATCTTAGTTAATTGTGGTAGTATCTTTATAAGTTAGAAATTATTTTCCACATGATCTTTCCACTCCTCCCATATCTCTTGCTTTGTTATTTTGAGGATCAAACGAGAAAATTGTAAAAAATGACAATGAGTTTTTCTCTTCTCTTTCCCTTTCCTTGGGATTTTGGAAAAATGCAGATATTAAAACAGAAAAGATACTGCTTATTGTCTCTTTTCTTTGGATCTGTAGAGTTACTAGAATGAAAAAGATGGGAATAGAGATAAAACTTAGTATATTTCCTAGGATTTAGATATACTGGAAATGTCCAGACCCCCTGCAGGCCTTTAGCCACAAGATTGCATCACCTATCATAAAACTCTATACTGTGTTTTTGTACTGAGTTCACATTTACAGTACTAATAATGCCTTCAGCACAAGTCATTTCCAAGGAATTAAATCCTTGTAGTCAGTGGGTTAAATCCCCATGAAATAACCTGCAGGTGACCCAGCTCCATTGACCCCAAGTATAGAATTTCAGATCAATAGCTGCAGTACTTGGATTCTGAAATATAAAACAATCTCTTGTGTTTTTGTTACCCCAATAAGTGTTATCAGACAGGGGATCACTATGGCAATTGCGAGTTCTTATCATATTAATGTTTGTGTTTGGTCCAAAAAGAAACTATTTTAAAAAGTAAATGCCTTCTGTTCTCTTTTCTTGGAATATGTAATGATGACTTTCAAGCACATAATGAGAATTAACAGTAATTCAAATAGTACAAGTGGTCATTAGTTGCTTGTACATGAAATAACATTTCCTCCTCAGAGGCAAAACATTCCAGTTGGATGTAAAATTCGTTTTGGTCTATTCACCTTTTAACTCTGTTGGGGAAGGGTACCAGATCTCTCAATTTGGGGCCAAATAAAAATAGTAAGGCTTCACAAACTGGGTTGGGGGTAGCGAAAGAGAAAAGAGAAATAAGATTATAGCTACGTGAACCATGACTTTGACTGGCATGATGTTTTGCTAGTGTCTAATCAAAGAACAGAAATCACTTCAAGTATTTATACCAACAGAGGGAATTATTTTGATGCAGGGAACTGGTTACCCATCTGATGAATAAGCTGAGAGCCAAACAAGGAAGAATGAAGTAACCAAGAAACTAGCCACTGAAGGAAGACACTACCAGGCTGGAGGGGCAAAGGAAGGAGGGTCCACCTCACCTGATGGAACCTGGAACCAGAGTGGGCCTGTCCAGCCAAAGTTAAAGCCACGGAGGAGATGGATCCTCAGCTACAGAAGCTACCTAAGGCAGATGAGTGGGCAAGGGAGAGGAGGTGGAGGATAAACTAATAAACTGGCTGGTCTGTTCCTTCCCCCTCCCTCTGCTCTCCACTGCTAGTGGCTTCTACTGCAGAAAGCCAGCCCTCAGGAGCATCTGAGAAATACAGCTGGCTAGGGTCAAACTTCCCACAGTACAAAGCACAGAAGCGAAGGATGAAGATGGCCAAAGAAGCCCAGAGCCAGCATATATGGTCATCTCCCCTGTGAATCTACTTTACCTGGTTGATGCCTAGTTTATTCATTCCATAAAAAGCCAAGAACTCACGGGCATGTCTGTTGAACTTCTCACTGTATAGATTTTACACAAGGTGGTGAGAGCTATGAGGAAGATCAGCACCCCTCTGGGACTGGATATGAATGTCTTTATAGTCCGAAAGATTTTTTTTACTCCATTGGTGCACAATGGGGTAAAAGTACCTCCTCTGGTGTGGTTTTACCTTTGCCAAGGAACTAGGTGGCCTTTCTCCCATTTCCTAAGGATATTTAAATACGAACTACAACGTAGAGCTGAGTTTAGAACACAAGAACTAACTTCAAGATTATGCCAAAAATATGTGGGTTAGTAAACATATGTCTTTGTTCAGGATCATAACATATTTCTCAGCCATATTACCCTGTCGGTTAGTCCCTCCATTTTACATATTAAAAAAATGATAAGTACTATTCTGAGTGAGGTAAGGCAAGGCTGTTGAGATTGATTCTCCTTGCCTTGAACAGTGAGGGAAGACTCTTCTGTCTCTTCACTTCTAGATTGCTTTCTCAAACAAAGTTCACCTGAAGAAACACTGTTAGCACTTAAACCATACCTTACATTTTTAAAGGACTTTCTTAAGTGCTATCTCATTCATTCTCATCATAATCCATTTTATAGGTGTTGGCAAAAACTCTTGCAATAGCCATCAGTCACAATAGCATGCTTCCTAGCTCAACTCTGCCTTGTTCAGTTCTGACCAAGCCAGTGTTTCTGAAATTCTATCCAGTTGGGACCTGAGTCCTAGGATAGTACAGAGACGTTCCCATACTTTATGGAAATTCAAAGGACACATCCTCGCATGGGTTCTGAAGGCCTGCTTCTCAAATCTCTTAAGCTAACGGAATGGCTTGCCTAATATCTTTAGAATCAAGTGAACTAAGGGAAGGTTTAATGATGGGGATCCTATATCACAGCCATTAAATCAGCACATGTACAAGTATGTTTCCAAATAAGATAACCCTCACTTAAAAGTACGGAGACCATGATGCGAAATTTGTGTGACTTCTTTAAATTTACAAAATCAGAGATAGGTATCCAAATGCAAGTCCCCCCAGTTTCCTTCCAGAACACTATCCTAGCATTGTGAGTGAACTTCCATGCTTGCATGTTCCAAGACAGAATATCAGAATAAGCTGTTATTGCAATGTATGCTTGTGCACTTTGTTTTTATTCCTCCTTTTAAAAAGAAGTTAAGAGAGCCTGGGAACTATAAAATACTGCTCTTCTTGAGAAGCAGAAGGCTCATGAAATGATAAGTTATGACTGGGGATAAGAGCTCCAGCCTTACCCCAAAACCCAAAGTTAGAGCAGTGCTACTACATTCAACAACAGCAACAACAAAATCTGAACTGGTGAGCAGACCACACGAGAAAGATCTTGGGAGAAAAACTCTGCTTCATTCCTCTTGATATCATTTTGCCAGAGCTTTAAACAAGTATAAAGACTTTTGTGAAATGAAAAACAGAATAAAAGGGCATATTGGGGGGCTGTTCTCCAACATGGGCTCCCCAAATCCCCACTCATACTAATAGGAACACTGCACACATGGCCATACAGGATCAGACGTCCTAAGTAGAGCATTTTTTTTCTTGGTGATTTTTCTTGTTTGGACTTTAATTAAGCTCCCGCCAGGCTTGCAAGATTTTTAATTTTACCTTTCTTTCTTCTGTCTGTCTTTTTCCTCCTTGAATCAGCTTGCTTGCCAGGACACTTTTTCTAAGCTGCCACTATGATAGTAAGTGTACCCTAAGATATTAAATTTAGAGATGTACTAGTAGTCGCTTCTCCAAGAATCAGTAGTAGAATTTTTCTCGCATTTGGAAAGATTTTCATTCATTCATTCATTTTTGCTTAAGTGTGGATGTTTGTGTGTGTTTTATGAATGAGAAAATAATAGAAAAGGAAGCTTCAAGGAATGTACAATGAGTATTGCTTAGTCAGTGATAAAACTCAACCTCCCATTAAGTCACCAGTTTAAGAAGAAATTTGCCATTACTTAATTTAATATTCACACTGCTCATAAGTAAACTGCAGCCAACTGTTTACTAGTGTTGGCGGGCGAAGGGTGAACTAGTCTAGAGAAGGTGATGCCTCAGTTGATGATTTAACACCTCTTTAGTGAAATGTAATATTTAATTCACTTAAGTTCTTTTTCAAGATCCCTTTGTAGTTAGTTAAACTCAGTGCAATTCTGAAAATACAACGGTAAGGGCTGGGGGTGCCAAAGGCGACCCCTTTAAAGCAGATTCCCTGAGAAGCTATTTTCATTTGAGGAAGCTTAGTTGAACATTGGCCACTCTAAATAGGATGCTTTACTGTTTTTTTCTTAATTTTTTAAAAAATTCAGATAATATTGCAGGGCCAGAAATAAAAATAAGCCATGAAAAACACAAAAACTAAAACGAAAGATGTGGAGCATTGAGGATATTATTACCTCCATGATTGCTATTATCATCATTCTTATTACGTACTTAATAATTCCACACTGGTGGGTTATTCCACCAACTCTCCCGTCTGTGAGGTACTTACTGATCGCTTCCACAAACCGCTCAAAAAAGCTGTAAGGGAAGAGCGGCTCCGGCAGCTCCCGGAAAAACATCTTCAGTGCTCCGGTGACAACGTGGATGTCCTCCCACTGGCTGTCGTCCAAATTCAGCTTCTCTTCTGGGAAAACACGAGGAGAAATGGAACAACTGGTTTTAATGAAACAATTACAAGACACTAATTATTATGTTAATGTTTGCCTACTATCATCAGCAACCGTTAACAGCCTTCTGCACCTAGAGGTTTGGTGCTGTGCATGTTTTTTTTTTCCCCTTTTTCCGTAGGAAGGGAACATTTTCAATGGAATACCATCTGTAGGAATGCAGCTAACAAAAAAACAAGAAACACAAAGAGACAGTGCCATTGACACAGTATGTCAGATACATTTATTCCCATAATGCATCAGTATGAAAATTAGCATCACAGCTCAACATGATTCAAAGCTATTTGGTTTTGAGGCCGAGGGGCTAAGAGTTGCCAATGATGGCCGGCTCAAGGGACAGGCCTAAAGGCCTTGCTGAGCCAACAGGAGACATATGCTAAACATGGCAATAGAAAATGAGTTATTGCTTTACATGTGTTAGCCTTGCTATGTACAAGGGAATAATGGGTAACACTTTTTTCCTTTTTTTGCAGAATATAAAGTCAGCAAGGAATAGAATACTGAGTGAGAAAGGATATTAATTCCTTCTTACTGCTTCAAAAAAATCTTTTTTAAGTTTTCATCTCAGCGAGGAAAATGTGCCCAGCAACAATATTAGACAGACCCCTGTTGGCCTACGTAGGCTATGCAAAGCTGTCAAAAATGATAACACACTAAAGACAAACCACAAGTGCTTACCAACTCCTATTAGAAACAACAGAAATGTTTGCTTGGGAAGCTTGAGTCAGTTGAGACATTTAAATATTAAAGAAAATAAATGCCAAAATGAAGTTTTTAGAAGAAATAAAGAGGCGTGGGCAATTATTTTCTATCTTTTCGCCCTCAATATGAAAGTCTGGCATCATTCTCATCCAAGAAGTGGATGTAATAGGGTCTGAAAGTGACATCTTTACACACAACTAAAGGAAGCAAGACACAAAAGCATTGCTGCTGATTCATAGTATCTGTCTCTCTAAACATCCGACACGGAAAAGATTTTGGATTCTGGGCTTAACAAAAACTAAAGCTAATTATTTTAAACAACATGGGGGTTCACTGAAAAGCCTAGTATCCTGGCAAGAACCTAGCAAGTATGCGGTCAACTGGAATTTTGTTTCTTAACTGATGTCTTGGGCTCACATTCACATGTCCCCTTGGTGTCAGTTTTATGAATGCAGAGGAGAATTTGCACCAAAAATGTGAGGAAAGCTGAGAATTGTCACTGTAGGGAATCTCTGCATGGGCTGTTTTGCTAATAGTGTTCACGTCCTTTTAAAAATACTAGCTGAAATCTTTATCAGATCTTTTTTTCTAAATGGACTATTATTTCCAGGGCTAGTTGGTGATGTTCCTGCTCAATAGGATGTTTGCAAAGAGAAGGAATGAAGGTGCATCTGTTTATTTCAGATGGGCTGTTTTCCCCTTCCCTGTCAGTCTTCATTCCTACCTCAATCATAACACAATAACATGATCCACAACAAAAATCAGCAGACGAGACCTTCTTTCTGCCCTGCAATCATTTTTGATTGATTGTATTTCAACAATTAGTCTTTTATTTGGCTACACACTATTGAAATAGGCCGACAGCATCTTAGCAGGCCAGCTTTAAACAGTCAACTGTTAACAATAGCATCAAAAAGGGAGACCTGATGGGGTTTACTGTCACTTTAAAGAACGGGGTTTTCACATTGTTGAAATCTGTCAGATATTTTGAAATGTCCCTCTCACTATGGTGCCACACCCCCTGCGTGCCCTTATAATAAAATTGGTTTTACTCCTGATTAAATCATTTTCTCCCTACCCACTACCATACTTCTCATAATGGACCTGTGCGCTCTACAGCTGGTGTTCTTCCCATGGTACCAATTCTTACTTTATCTTTTAAGCACTTTGCTGCTAAGATCTCATGCAGAGTGCTTATGTTTTGTTAAGAGCTTCATTCTTAGAGAAATAGCTTAACACATGTTCTAAAAATGTTGTACAACTTATTGCTTAAAACACATTTAGAAAATGTATAAGTACTGTAGCTTCGGCACCGAACTTTAAGTGGAAACCTAAACAAATACACAAACACACACGTACACACACACGTGCTTGCGCACACAACTATCTCTACCAAAAACTTATCAGCAAAGTCCAACACAAAATGCCATTTTGGTGCATTGGTTTGAGATTGTCAAAGGAAAGTGATTAGCAGGTAAAAAAGAGAATGATTTTATCTTCAGCAAAACAAGAAGAACAAATAATTGTTTAACCAAAGGCAAATGTCATTGATATTTGTCATCTCCATGTAATCATCAGTTAATTCAAGTGATTGTGAAAATAGAATATTTTAATATCATAAAAGGGAAAATTTACCAATCAATAAATTCCATTTGATTATGTCCACTCAAAATGCTGTATAATATCAATATCAACGTGTGTTACTTAGACCAGCATTCCTCATATAGATATCTATGTAGTCTTCATTTAAAGAAAAAACACCAATTTGTAGTCTTCTAATAGGTAGCTTAAATAATATGGCAAGTAGTTGGAAAGAGTGTTTTAGAATATAATATCTAATTTTTATATTAAGTTTTTTCATAAGCAACCAAGGTTAAGATCCCTTGTAAACCAGAGGACTTTAAGGCATGTTTTTCAAGGCCACTGTGATTTATCTAAACATGTAGTTATATGCCTATTTATACACCTTCTCATGAATCCATCCAGTTCTCAAGATTAACAGACCATAACCCCATCTTAGTGTTAACAGGTATGATTATAAACACATTTTTATTATTTGATGGGCATTTTCTAACTAATGTGTGAGCAGTGATGATGTCTTACGCTTCTCCCTTTTCCAACAGGGCAGAGTTTCTTAACAGTGATGAACTATTGACATCTGGGGCTGGATAATTCTTTGTTGTGGGGGCTGTCCTGTGCATTCTAGGATGTTTAGTAGCATCCCTGGCCTCAACCCACTAGATACCAGTAGCACTTTCCAGTGGTGATGATGAAAATGATCTCCAGATATTGCCAGATATCTCCCGGTGGTGCAAAGTTATCCCCAGTTAAGAACCACTACAAGAGAGCCTGTAAGAGTCTATAGAAGTTAGTCAGTAAATACTGATTTATGAAGTTTACCTTAGGTAGGCAGAGAACTAGACAACTAGATACACGCATACTGAGATTTCTTTAATATGAACTTAAGAGTTGGTAATTATTTTTGACAAAATCAAATCTTTTACAAAACAAAACTCACAAGACCACATTTTAGCGTGCTTTCCAACAAAAACAATAACCAATAATTATTTAGTGCTAACACTATACTAAGGACTATGCTATGCACTTTACATTCATTGTCTAACGCAATTTTTTCAATAAGACAATGAGGTCCATGCTATTGTTCTCATCATCTGCATTTTACAGATAGGGAAAATGAGGCATGGGTAGATTAAATAACTTTTCCATGGCTGACAAGCGATAAATCCAGGATAAGGAGCCAGGAAGCACCTCTGTCAAAACTGTTATGTTGAAACTTAATCTTGGCTTCAGAAGCTGAAATGGAAGAGGCAAATAAGTAATAATTGCAAGTGGTAGTCGATCAGCTACTACTTCCAAAATAGTGACTTTTATATTTTATCCCTAAATGTCTTACTTGAGGCTAGGCTTTTGCCTGTAAACTGATGCTGATTTTTCATAATTACTCATTTACAGAGGGCACAGATTCTTACATAAACAGATATAAAGCAAATCGGCAATAAAAAGAAACTGCATTAGAAAGTGGCAGAAGATGGAGCGAATTGTTATGTGGTGATGGTGTGAAGAGGAAATACAATCTAGTGGGAAAGAGATTAAATAAAACATCACGCCTGGATTTACCACGAATTCACTGTATACCTATTTATTTGTGAAATGAAGATAGAAAGATAGCTGCTGGCATTAAATGAGAAGATGTATGTGAAAGCATTTGGAAAGCGCAAGGAAACAAACACATTCAAGATGCAACTACAATGGGGAAGGTGAATAAAGGTCAAAAAGGCAAAATTTATAAAGGATTAAGGCAATGGAGATATGGAACAAACATCATCAACCATCCCGGTTTCTTTAGAGGATTTACCTTGGTGTGATGCTGTTTGTCATATGAGATCAACCAGAACTTGACATGCAAGAGTCCAATATTGGGAAGAAATTTGGTTGGATCAAAGTATCTCACAATCCTCACTCTGATCATCTGTGCTGGTTTCTCCTGGCCCTCTACTTAGGCTATCTTACATTCATTTTGGTCATGGCTTTTGGTGTAAAGCATTTAAACAGAATTGAAGATAGGTTGAGCTCCAGAATCCAAATACTATGTGACTTTTATGAGATCACAAAAAATATGTCTAAATGTTGCATCCAGACAAGGCCATCTTGAAATGTCCTTTCTTGAAGTGTCGTTTGTTTATTTTTTTAAAGTTAAAACTTATCTATATTAAGCTAAAAACAATTATATTTGAAACAACAATGACAATAGGTATTAGGAACAAACTTTCTTAAAAAGGAGAAATGAAAGAGGGACCTTTGATAGCCACCGTAGGTAAATGGTAATTACCAAGGAAAAAGACTCATTTAAATATCACTAATATTTTAATCACCACTTTCCTCTTGTATTCTATATTGCTATATAGATTGGTGTAACTAGAATTTGCAATATTAGGTCCGATTTTAAATAAACTCAAACTGTGTTAACCTAGCATTGGTTGAAATATGGCTGCACATAACTTGAACTATCCAGAATAGAATAGTAACACAAGAGTAAAGAAGAAATTCGTTGTGTATTGAAAAACAAGTTCATACCTTGTAATTTTTTCCATGGCACTTTTAAAGCTCTTTCCAACTTTTATTTTACTGTTGTAATAAAAAAAAAAAGAGGAAAATCCCAATTTTCCCAGGTCTAGAGAGAATAGCTCGGATTTCATTAATATAGTGACAAGAACCTAATACATTGTGAAACTCA